TCTGTTCAACAATGATCCGAAAAGTCTTGGCATCCAGCCATATATACCCAGGGTTACCTTGTTACCACAGCAACGACAATTATTCTGTATCAAATGCCCATTGGTGCATGACCTGGTGATGAAATGATCACCCCCAAAAGACACAGAAGCACAAAAAGACTACTGTCAATGGTCTCTCAGAGGAGGAAATAAAGAGAGAAGTGTGAGGGAGGGAAAGGGAAGGAGAATGGGAAGGGAGGAGAGGATGAGAAAAGAGACCTGAGGAGCAGATGGACACTGGTCAGGCCTGTGCCCCTGCTGCCGGGTGGCTTTTTATTACCCAAGTTCACCTCATTGCCACCCCAGGTCGAAAAGTCACTCAGCACTCCAAGTTCAAGTTATCAATACAGAAGTTTTTTATTATTTACTCCAATCTCCAACTATTCACCCTACCTGACACATAGGAGCAATAATATACATATCAGTATCTTTGTTTCTCACCCAAGCCTCACCTATAGGCAACTTCTAAGACTTTACTCTTTCTTCTACATCTTGCTGTGTGGATATCTACAAAGTTATGTAATCAATATACAAAACCTCATCTCCATCTCTGTCTTCATCAAGAGGAGTTTTGTGTTGGGTATCTATGGAGGCATTATACTGATGTTTGGCTCTATAATGAGGATTTTAAAGGAAACAGTTGCTCATGTTTGGAAGGCCACTGGCTCTACCTCTTACTGAGTCATCTTGGGAATCTTACCCAACTTATCTACATCTCATTTCTTCCTTAGCAAAGATATAATATTTACTTGACAGGATTATTGAGATTAAGGTGGAAGTGGGAGGGAAATACATAAAATGCTGCTGATGCTGCATCACTTCAGTCGTGTCCAACTCTGCGCAACCCCATAGATGGCAGCCCACCAGGCTCCCCAGTCCCTAGGATTCTCCAGGCAAGAACAGTGGAGTGGGTTGCCATTTCCTTCTCCAGCACATGAAAGTGAAAAGCGAAAGTGAAGTCTCTCAGTCCTGTCTGACTCTTAGCGACCTCATGGACTGCAGCCTACCAGGCTCCTCTGTCCATGGGATTTTCCAGGCAAGAGTTGGAGTGGGGTGCCATAAAATGCTAGTGTCTGACAAATGCTAGGTACCACCCACCTCTTTTCTTCTATAATATACATGTCTTTGACATAAATACCCTGCTTACAAAATCTGAGTAATATTATTCTAATTGGCTTTTCCCTAATAGGAATCTTTCATTTTTATCAGTTTTGCAATAACTGGAAGACCACCCAATTCACGAATGGCATTTTGGTTAAATGAGTATGCTGCATTGTTACCCTGAGTAACCAAGGCTACTTCTTGAATAAAAGGATTTTTAGATCTTTCTAAAGTGTTAAGGGCCTTTTGAAGGTCAGTAGCACCCAGAATATATATCATCAATTTTATAGGGAAAGTTGAACTTTCCCTTTTGAACAGGCCATAACAAAGCTGGAGTCCTGGTGCTCTTAATTCTGGTCCTTCCCTTGGACTTGCCACTATCCTTGCTCCCAGCCCTAGCTCCATTCCTCACAGGGTGGCAGCCTCCACCTAAATCAGATTCTCTTTATTTCTCCACTAAATCACATTCTCTTGATCTAGACATTCCTTCAGTAGGGTGAGTCTGAGGACTACCCCTCAACCCTCTTGCCACTTTCCTAACTCAAACTACTGCAAAATCTTTTATCAGTAGAAAGTGATACTTATCATGGAACAAATGCATCTTCTGTGTATTAAGTATGTCTTTACATAGTCTCATTGACAAGAAACAACTTCATTGATCTAAGATGCCTTTGATTACTAGATACATCTTTGTTTTATATACTACTGAGAATGAAAAAATACTTTTATTTAAACTATGATGAGACTGTAAGACCTATCATAACTTCAGAAATACTAAAACTGGGGGTGGGGTAAGGAAATGTCCATCTTATGATCACTGAATACAGTGGCGCTACTTAGTGCTATGACAATATTTAATAAACACAAAATTTGACTCTCAAGTCACCAAGTGACACTTGAAAATACAGAGTATACTTACAATAAATTTCTTTAATGAAAACAGAACACTCAAAAAACATTTATAAGGAATATGTTAAATCCAGAAACATGTATGTGTATTTCCAAAATTCTACCAGCCCTACTCTTAGAAACACTTATGCTTCATGTCTTCATGTCTAAACCCATAGAATGCTGTAAAATTGATGAGATGGAATAGAGGAAACATTTTCAGCTCTCAGAAGAGAACAAAGATCCTATTTCTCAGAGGAATGTATCAATTTATTTAAAATCTACTAGGCCAACAATTAGACAAAAAGGTACTCAACACCTACTAATCATCAGGGAAAGAGAAATCAAAACCACAATGAAGTATCACCTCACACCTGTTATAATGGCTATCATCAAAAAGACAAGAGATAACAAGTGTTGATGAGGACATGGAGAAAGGGAAACTTTGTGTACTGCTGGTGGAAATGCCAGTTGGTACAGTCACTATCCTGGAGAAGGAAATGGCAACCCACTCCAGTAATCTTGCCTGGAGAATTCCATGAACAGAGGAGCCTGGCAGGCTACAGTCCATGGGGTTGCAAAGAGTCAGGCATGACTGAGCAACTATCACTCACTTACTCACAGTCACTATGGAAACAGTATGAAAGTTCCTTGAAATTTGATAAAAAGAACTGTCATGTGATCCAGCAATCCATTTATGGATATATGTCCAAAGAAAATAAAAACAAGATCTACAAAAGATATCTGCACACCCATGAGCATTGCAGCATTATTCAAAGTAGCCAAGATATGGAAACAATCTATGTTTCCAACAAATGAATGGATAAAGAAGATGCAGTATATATACCACAGCCATGAGAAAGAAGGAAAACGTACTGTCTTCAACAACTTCAGTAAAACTTGAGGGCATATATGCTAGGTGAAATGTCAGACTGTATAAAATAAAATGCTGTATGATATCACTTGTATGTGGAATCTAAAAAAGACAAACTCAGAAAGTAGAGTGGTATTTACTGGAAGCTGGGGGATGGAAGAAATGGGGAGGTATTGGTCAAAGGGTACAAATTTCCAGTTATAAGATTAACAAGTTCTGGGATCTAAAGTATAACATGGTGATTATAGCTAGTAACACTGTATTATATACTTTAATATTGCTAATGGAATACATTTTAACTATTCTCACCAAAAAAAAGAAATGGCAATTATGTGACAGGATGGAGATGATAGCTAATCATTTTGATATAGATGGAGGAAAAGATTTAATATTAAATTCATTCATTATCCTGTTACTCATAGCCATTTTTCATATTTTGGTATATAACCTTTCAGAAATTATAATACATGTAAATATTTTATGTTTATAAAAAATTGAATATAGTATATGATAATGTAATTGGCTATTCCACTTAAGATTATATGCTGAATTTTTTCCATGTAAAAAAGTGTAGTTGACCATCAACATTTTTAAGAGTAAAATAATGTTTCAATGCATAGACATATCTTAATTTCTTAGCCAAGTGCCTATTTCAAGACAGATTTCTACAGGTAGAATCTCTGGGTCAAAGAGCATGCACATCTTGAAAGCTTCTGAAACATGTATCCAGATGGATCTTGTACCAAGTATGGTCCCACTAGCACAGTTTGAAGGTGCCCCTCCTCCTACACTTCACCACACTCTGGGATGGAAGGGAGGTAGACCTCCAGTATGGATGTCAACAGCCACCTCGATGGTTCCATAAAGGCCCTGCCCCAACTAACCTTGTAAAGGAAAGCTGATAGAAACACTAAAAATTATTATTCATTCTATTTTCTCATAACTTCAGAGTAATAACTAACATATTCACTCTCATAGACACCAGAGTTGGACCAAAAAGAGGATGTTTTTCTATCAAATGCCCTCAGGACCCTGCAATGAAATTGTCCCCAGGATAGGTTACAGCACTTCTTCACTCAAAGCGTCTCTTACCTCCTTCCTCCCCTTACCACTCCCATGGTCATCAGTGAAATTTCACACTTTTAGCATCTATTACTGAAATATGGTGATAAATTCCTTATGCGATGTTGCAATCTCCAGTGGCTACACTGTCCCTACCCTAACTCTGACTCATTCTGCACACAAGCCAGTCACATAATTTTCCTTTCATCCTGTCATTTCCTCTGGTCACGAAAAGCTTTGGTGTCTCCCAGGGATGGGAGGAATAATACACAGACACCTCAGTTTAGAAATTGGGGATCCTCAATGCATGGGACTCACCTCAACTGCTGGACTGTATTTTCCATCACTCCCCTCCCCACACTTTGTATTCTATGCAGGCCAGCCTCCTCTGGAAAGTTGCAACCTCCATGCCTTTCTTCCCACAATTCCTCCCTCCTCCAATGCTCTTCTGCCCTGTTCTTATCCCATCTTTCATGCCCACTACTTAAACATCCCCTCTTTGGAGGAGAGCATTTTTGCTTGCATAAGTTTCTGCCATAAGAAAGAGCTAGTCATGATTAGAGGCTGCCAGATTTGTTACCACCTTTTTGTTTCCATATATCTTGCCTCTCCATATATATCATCAACTCAAAAACATGATAATTTTTTGCTGGTTAAAACACACAACTTTATTGATGAAACACAAGATTAACAGATGTAAACCAATACAAAAGTATAGCTTATTTGTGGTTAGTATGCTGTCAGTTTAAGTAAAGAGTAAAAATATCTCAATCTAGGTAGCAAGATAGAATCAATAAATGCTTTCTTTGTACAAGCTTTAGTATTCATCTGACATCCTTAAAATGATCTAGCCTAAAACAAACCATCACAGTCAGCATCACTGTTGATGACAGGTAATAGTCATTATTCCAAAATAGCAGCTGAAAGGATCTCTTTGCCATATAAGCACAGTAAAAAATAAAGAATTTACAAAATGCATTGTTCCCAACTGCAAACTAAAAAAATTTCCTCAATATTTTTTGGGACAGACTCTCAATTAGAGTTTGGTCAATACCTTTAGGACTTTTACTTTCACAACCAGATCACTGTGATTTGCTAATGCTTTGATTTTCTTGACACACACTCCAGATTCTTTGAATAAGAAAAAAAGTGAACTTCTGCTGAATTCTTTCCTGGATGAGGCAAGCCCTTCATTTTTTATGTTGTCATTTATATTCTCAAATAGGGTAAGGATATTAAGAAGAATCTCTCTGTCCCATTCTTTATTAAAGAGGGAAATCAATTCTGACGGCACTTTACAACTCACCAGTTCTCTTGTCATGGCTGGATTTTCAGTAAAGTTTATGATTAGTTTCATAATCTGAATCTTGGTGAAGTAATTTCCCAGGAATAACAAAGCAAAAAAGTCTGGAAAAGAATAGGAAAGCAAATGCTGGTAATGATTAGTCACAGTCATGTTGGTTAACAGTCTTAGACCAGCCATCTGCACAGCTGAGTCCAAACGACAGATCATGGTGTCATCACACACTTGACTGATATATGCTTTAATCTTGCCCTGATTTTCCGAATTCACACTCAAGTTATTAAGGACATTGTATGCCTTTTCCCTAATAATGGGATCTTTCGTTTTTATCAGTTTTGCAATAATTGGGAGACCACCCAATTCGCGAATGGCATTTTGGTTAAATGAATATGCTGCATTGTTACCCAGAGTGACCAAGGCTACTTCTTGAATAAAAGGATCGTTAGATCTTTCTAAGATGTTAAGGACCTTTTGAAGGTCAGTAGCACCCAGAATATCATCAATTTTATAGGGAAAGTTGAACTTGCCCTTTCGAACAGGCCATAACATAGCTGGAGTCCTGGTGCTCTTATTTCTGGTCCTTCCCTTGGACTTGCCACTAGCCTTGCTCCCAGCCCTAGCTCCATTCCTCACAGGGTGGCAGCCTCCACCCCTGACTCCTGGGCAGGGTAAACCAGGTGCGAGGGCCCTGGTCCCAAAGATGGTACCCAACTTGGCAGCTTTGCTTGCCTTTGCACTTGCCTGTTCCTTCAGAGTGCTGAAAAGGGCCTTGGCCTTGGCCTCTAGGCCACCTCCACTCTCAGCCTTTGAGTGGGCCTCTGCCTTTACATTAGGTCCACTCTTGAGTTCCACAGCTACCTCAGCCTTGGCCTTTGAGTCACCCTGAAGTCTGGCTCCAGCCCTTGCTCCAGCATTAGCCTTAGCTCCTTTCCCAGTCTCTGAAATATCACGAGATTCCTGCTCCTCATCGTCGTCCTCCTTCCAGATTATCTCCTTATCTCTTCCCCAGGTCAGCCTGTATACACAGTAGCAGGCTCCAGCCCCGATCACCACACCAGCAGCCACGCAGCCAGCTTCCCGAGTTCGGCCCATGATGCAGGGAGTGTCTGGAGGACTTGCTCTGGCTGGAGGAGTGCTTCCAAGTGGAGATGCGGGGAAGATGAGGCTGTGGAGTCTTCAGCTACAGCCAGCAGGCTTTGCTGCAGCTACAGATACTGGAGGACATAAGGATAAAAGATTTAAAGCTTCAGTCTCCTCTTTTTTGCGCCTTTGCATGCAGACAGACTGACCTACAGACCTACAAACAGACCAAGCAAATAGAGACATGGCAGGGACTCAAAGCGAGATCACTGATTCCTTTCTTCAATCAGGAATTTTGGAAGTTTCCCCACCTCCAGATTCTCCAGCGTCCTCTTCAACTACCCTAATCCAGTACCATAAATTTAAGACAACTAATCAGTTCCCTACCTCCCCTACCCCTGCAGATGTACTGGGGGCAGAGGCACCCCCACATACACCCGCACAGGTCCAGGCAGTTTCTTCCTTCGATTTCTGGCCTGGAATAACACCAAGTTCCTGCAAACCTGCGTACAAAGCGGGTGGGGAGGGTGGAGCTGAGCGCTCAGGGAACAGACAGATGAACCTCACCCGAGACGGGACACACGTTCCTCTCTGGCATCACTGGCCCTAGTCCTGCGAAGCCCAATATTTCCCATCTTCGGTTACCCTCCCCTCCTCAGTGAGCTGTGGCTTTGATCTGAAAGTTTGTTTTGACCCGTCACCCCTCCCCCACCCCGTTCCTACGACCTCCTCCAAACATCCACCCTAACCCCTCCCAGAAAAAAGTCACTGCCTTCAAAGGTGACTGCCACAACTCTTTCCCTGTAACAAAATGGATGGTGGTGGAGCCAGAGTGAATATCTAGAAGCCAGACAGGCGTAAAATGCACAAGGCTCTCGAACTCCGCCCTGGCCTCTGCCACCCCCACCATCTCAGAGGTACCAGGATACTCCTACCCCCACCCATTACATCCACTGCTCCGGAGCAATTTCCTTCCTCCCTCGTCTAGGTTTTCGCTTCTATGTAACCTAAGGACTGACAACTCTGGGACCAAGAGTAATTTGGAGTAAGGTCCTCCCTACCCCCACCCCCACCCCAGGTCTCTCGCAGACACCTACATTCTCCCAACCACTTCTTTCCCTGCAGAGCGCTTTCTTTTGCAAGCTCTGCAATGGTCCAGAGAGAAGGAGGGGTATGAGGGGGATGTCCACAGGCCCACTGGAGTTTGCAGTCTTCACCTTTCTCCACCCCAGGGATCCCTAAATAGTGCCACCACCTTCACTCTGACCTACTTGTTTCGGGGCAATTTCCTCTTCTTCCTGCTCCTAAGGTTGAACTGGCCTTCAGACGCAAGATTCACCGACACAGACTGGCAACACGGCAGAGATGGGATGGCTAGGCAGACAGAACAGGACTTGAGACAGTCCCAATACCAGCTTTTCCGAATCCAAGGTCTTGGTTGTCAAACGGATTCCACTTTTTGGTCTTTCACCCTACCCCCACTTCTCAGGACTCTGATACCAGCAGCCTTCTCCAGCAAGGGCGTCCATCCACCCCATCCCCCAGCCCCGAGTCTCAGTCCCAATCCCAGCGGTCAGCCATTTTCCCAGGAAAAACCACACCCCTTTGGAACAACCGGAAAGAGGGGAGGCGGGGCGAAGGAGTGCGGATAACCAGAGGAGCGGAAAGAAAACCCCAAGATCTGATTCCCCCTCCCTGATGCATTCGCGGCCCCAAAGACAACTCTTTTTCCTGCAGGCGTTGTCATATCCTGTTTCCTGTATCAAATAGCAGGGAGGTAACTGGGAGTCAATAATACGCCCGGGTTAGGGCGAGAAGCCCAGCCATCCTCATCCTTCTAGGAGTCGCGGGGCAATCCCACCTTTACACGGACCTGCTGGGCTTCGGGGCAGATTCTTTATTCCTTTGCTCGGAGTGGTACAGCGCCCTACTGAAAGACACGGGGAATGACAAGACAGACGCACAGCTCCAAGATTCTGGCTGCTAGATGGAGCAGCACACCGGACAAGAATCTTAACACGGGTCCTTCCCAATTCAAGGCCCTGGATGTCAAAGGTTTCAGGTTTCCCCTCTCCTGGACTGGGATGTACCCTGGAATCTGGCTCCCAAGTGTCCACCATTTTTGTTCTTGGAAGTGCCAAGGAAATAGTGCAAGGGTGTGGAGAAAGCGAGCCGTGTCCCTCTGTCGTCTCCACCCTCCGCTACCAGCACCGCGGGAATCCCCCAGGCAAGAGCCCATCCACACATAGACCTGCTGGCAGCAGGGCAGAGTTACCTCCTCCTCCTCCTCTTCTCCTGGCCACAGGCCCGCCCGCCTTCGAGGTAAAAGGGAGATGGCAACCGGACCAAACGAAGACGAGGATTAGAAGGACGTCTGCAAACGTCTGGCTCCTGCTCACGTGAGAGCCACGTCACTCGTGAGCTCAGGACCCCAATTACCACTCCCACCAGCAGTGCGTCAGGAGCTGGCCTACCCCCCCTTCCTTCCTCTCCACAGCAGGTCCTGCCACTCACGTTCCTCTGCTGATCCCAGAAACCAAAAGTAGCTTCTCTTGTAGTTGGCGTTTGCCTTTCTTTGGTTAACAGAGACTACATCTCTTCCCATGTCCATTGGTCTTTTCTTACTCTTTGAGGAATAATTTTTCTCTCCTCTACTCCCTGTCCGCCCACCTCCCCCTTCACCTCCACGCCCCCACCCCAGCCTCAAATGAGCAGCGTCTCCCCTACTCCCCTCTAGGAAATTAGTTTTAGGATCTCAGAAAAGGAGATGGGCAGTGGGAGTATCTTACTTTCTTAAACTTTTCTGTTCATTTTTTAAAAATCAGTAATGCATTATTCCTATATAGAGAAAATGATGCTATTTTTGTTTGAGTGGAGAAGAATTTAAGTGTAAGGGAATAACCCCAAAGGCCTCATTAATTTTAGTATATTTAGTTCTAACACAAGGAAAATGTTTCCACTGGTTACAGTCAAAAAGAAACGTCCTAAATATAGTAACCAGTTTTAAAATTGAAAACTGTTATTTTTCACATGGTCTATGAATTAGTCCACAAAGATGACTGGTTGTCTAATCTTGGCCATTTTAAACGAATGATCTATTACTTTTTCGAATTTTGGGTCAACTTACAATTTGATAAAAGCAATACAATCATATCTTGTTTGATTAAAGAAAGAAATACATTCAATTATCTCAGAGTTTTGAATGACTGCTGTGTGAACCTCTTGTGATTTGATGGCTTTTCTATACACCTGTTCCAGATTAACTTTTTATCTATGAGGGCTTCCCTGGTGGCTCAGTGGCAGAGAATCCACCTGCCAATGAAGGAGACACAGGTTTGATCCCTGGGTTGGGAAGATCCCCTGGAGGAAATGGCAACCCACTCCAGTATTCCTGCCTGGAAAACCCCATGGACAGAGGAGCCTGGCAGGCTGTAGTCCATGGGGTTGCAAAGAGCTGGATTCGACTTAGCAACTAAACTACCACCTACTATGACTGAAGAAGCTGAGGGTGTAAGGGATGGAGAAATTGTCCCTGCCTTGTCAAGAGGGGAAGGAAGAAGGTGATGCCTTCCCACCTCCCCTATATTCCAGAGTTTCTCACCCCTTGCATTCTGGCACCTGACTCTTTGTTCACTCCTAAAATATACACGGACAGGTGACCAAGGTGGTAAATGCCAACTTTACTCAGGTGACCAACCTGAGTAAACACCTTTGACTTCTTTCCTCCCTCCATACTTCACATTCCCACAGAGATAACTCAGGGATGCAGAGAAGGGACTGCTGTTCCCACCAACTCCTGCAGATTTCCATGAAGCCTGAAAAAGCAATTGCAGGGGGAAAACACCCAGGCCTGCCTGCCCTGCTCTGCCCTGATTCACAGTGGCCCAGTTAACCTTGTTCCTTATGCTGTCTGCTGATACCACCTGACCTGAGAGGTGCAGCCTGCTGACCTCTCACGTCTGGCCTTCTTACCTCAGGGCATCCAGGGGGAACCCAGCCTTGTTGCTGGTCACTGCCTGCAACCCACACTCACCTTGGTGCCCCCTCAGCCATATGTACACCTCTCCCCACTGACTGTCCTGATTAACATAGAGTAGGTGTTCTCAACTGGCCGCCTCTGTGTTCTACCTAAAATTGTATCAAAGTCATGTGGATGCATGTGTTCATTTTAGTTCAAAAAAGGGTCATAACTCTCATCAGATTCTCACAGGCATCATTTATGACTTAAAAAGTCTAAGAAGTACTCTCTTGGAAAAAAAAAGATATATCCCTTTAGTGGTAATCAACCTGTTTTTCTCTCTCCCACATTATACACATTTTTTATATTTTTTAATGTGCAAACAACACAGAAATGTATAAACTGGAATGTGAAATTTCCCTTTAATGCCTGTTCCACCAGTAACTGTTCCAAAAGCAATCACTTTTAACAATCTCATTCAAGTGCAATGAATCTGCACTTTAATTTTAGAACTGATATCTTTAAAAATTGGGTCTTTCTATCCATGTCAACCTTTGCTTATTGTTGTTTAGTTGCAAAGCCGTGTCCAACTCTTTGCGACCCCATGGACTGCGGCATGCCAGGCTTTATGATTGTCAATAAATTTTATGTTTCTTCAGGTAGTTCATACTCATTACTTGTTTATTCTTAGGTGTTTTATGGTTTTGATGCTTTGGAGGGATGATATTCCTTTTATGATTATATTTTCTACCAGGTTATTGGCAAAGGAAATAATTCTGACATGTTTACTTTTAGTGACCTTTCTTAATATTTCTAATATGGGCATAACTCATTTTATTGTGCTTTGTTTTATTTTGATTCACAGATATTGAGTTTTTTACAAAATGAAGATTCATGGCACCTGTGTCAAGCAAGTCTATTGGTGCCACATTTCCAACAGCATGTGCTCACTTCATGTCTCTGTATTACAGCTTGGTAATTCTTGCAATATTTCAAACTTTTTCATTATTATTATACTTGTTATGGTGATCTGTGATCTTTGATGTTACTATTGCAAAAACATTACAACCCATTGAAAGCTCAAATGATGATTAGCATTTTTTACTAATAACATTTTTAAATTAAAGCATATACATTTAAACAAATTAGTTATTTGGTTGTGCCAAGTCTTAGTTGTGGCACACAGGATCTTTAGGTGCAGCATACAAACTTTTAGTTGGGGCATGTGGGATCAGTTGCGTGACCAGAGATCAAACCTAGGTCCCCTTTACTGGGAGCACAGAGTCTTAGCCACTGGACCAGCAGGGAAGTCCCTAAGTACTTTCGTACACTTAACAAGCTACACTATAGTTTATTTTTCTTTTTCTGTTCTTATCTCATTGTAACAAATATTTGGAATGGTGGACTAAAGGGTTTAAAACACCAGGCAGGTTACAGCTCAGTTTAGCTCAAGCAGACAGATTTTTTATTAGACAGACACTCCCAAAACATGGGAACAGGCTAATCCCAAAGGAGTTGCCCTCATAATCTCTCTTGGCTTCCCCCTTTATATATATTTTCTTGGCTTCCCCCTTTTTATACTTCCTTGGCTCTCCCCCTTTTTATATTTCTTGTTTCCTCCTTTTGGTTATGCCCTATACAAAATAGGGCTTGTACCCACCACCAATCAAGGAAAGGGAATGTAAATGGGCATACACTCAAGGCCAGTTGACAACTGCAAGTTATATAACAGCCTATGTATGTCTTCCATTAATTCAATCTGTTATCAGTTTCAGTTCAGTTAGGTCGCTCAGTCATGTCCAACTCTTTGCAACCCCACGAACCACAGCACACCAGGCCTCCCTGTCCATCACCAACTCCCAGAGTCCACCCAAACCCATGTCCATTATGTCGGTGATGCCATCCAACCATCTCATCCTCTGTCGTCCCTTTCGCCTCTTGCCCTCAATCTTTCCCAGCATCAGGGTCTTTTCAAATGAGTCAGCTCTCTGCATCAGGTGGCCAAAGTATTGGAGTTTCAGCTTCAACATCAGTCCCTCCAATGAACACCCAGGACTGATCTCCTTTAGGATGGACTGGTTGGATCTCCTTGCAGTCCAAGGGACTCTCAAAAGTCTTCTCCAACACGATACTTCAAAAACATCAATTTTTCTGTGCTCAGCTTTCTTTATACTCTAGCTCTCACATCCATACATGACTACTGGAAAAACTATAGCCTTGACTAGACCGACCTTTGTTGGCAAAGTAATGTCTCTGCTTTTTAATATGCTGTCCAGTTTGGTCATAACTTTCCTTCCAAGGAGCAAGCGTCCTTTAATTTCTTGGCTGCAATCACCATCCTCAGTGATTTTGGAGCCCAGAAAAATAAAGTCAGCCACTGTTTCTCCATCTATTTGCCATGAAGTATATATGTGCAGAATATTTATGAGCCTTTAATGGGCTCCTGCTTCCCAGGTGGCTCAGCGGATAAAGAATCTGCCTGCAATGCAGGAGCTGAAGGAGACACGAGTTCGACCCCTGGATTGGGAAGATCCCCTGGAGAAGAGAATGGCAACCCACTCTGGTATTCTTGCCTGGAGAATCCCATGGACAGAGGAACCTCGCAGGCTATAGTCCATAGGATGGCAAAGAGTCGGCCCCAACTGAAGCGACTCAGCACAGCACAGCACAGCACAATGGGCTCCTAGCTGCCTAAGGTTACTTGGAGAAGCCCCTGTGGTTAGTTTATATCCACTGTGTGCTTAGGGAGCATGTGCAGGAGTTGGAAAAGTCTCTGTGGTTATTTTTGTAGCAATTTGTGAGCTCTCCTGGGGATGTCTGGGATGGGGTTTAGAGATCAGCTTGCATCCTTTTTGGCTAGGCCACCCCTCATTGCTCACGCCTAACTTCCTACCTAACAATAGTATAAACAAAACTTCTTTGTGCACTGAGAAGCCAAAGAAATACATGACTCACTTTACTGAAACACTAGCTTTATTATGGTAGTCTGGAAATGAACCCACAATACTCAGAGGTATGCTGGTAGTTTTTCAGTTGATAACTTTGGTTTTTCTAAGTATGCATACATGATCATCTGAAAATGATGATTTTTTTTAAAATTTTGCCTTTTCCAATCATTGTATCTCTTATTCTTTCATTTTCTGGGTGTACTACATCAGCCAG